TGTGAGTTTGATTTTAAGATTACAGTCCAGGTCTGTAATATGCAGAGCACAGGCCTTTAGATACAGCTGAACTAGGTGATGCCATGGGGAAGTGAACTCTGCAGACAGCCATGTCAGGCTGTTCTGTGCTATTTGCATGTATCTGCCCTGTAGTGAGTCTTTCTCCTCTTCTATAACAGGCTTTTTCAAGGTCCTGGGTCAGCTGACTGAAACTGGAGTTGTGAGCCCAGAGCAGTTTATCAGTGAGTACATCATCATGTCTTGGCACTTCATGGTGGTTGCTGAGAACCAGAAGATAGCGATGCTGACAGCAATCTACCTGGCTATGATGCAGAGGGATTTATTATCTTGGGTCCCCTGAGGCAGGTTTTGGCACTCAGTTTTGTATTCAGCTGCAGTTATCCTGAAGGGCTTCTTGGCTGGGACGTGTTTAAATTGTATACCTGCTTTTGAGGCTGAGCTCTTGATGCGTGGCAGGAGGGAGCATTGGGTGGTGGCTTCTTTTGGCTGAAGCAGAAGTTTGCCTTTGATTGTAGCTCAGTAACATTCTGAGCTTGCTTTACTGCTTTGACTGAGAGATAAGAAAGCTTACAGGAGGTACTGCTGCCTTCATTGGCACCCATCTGCTGAGGAGGGAAGGTTCTCTTGGTGGTTAGGGAAAAGGCATTTATTTCATTCTGGGCAGCCTGGTCCTGTGGTTGGCGACCCTGCACATAGGAGGGGGTTGAAACTAGGTGATCATTGGGGTCCTTTGCAACCCAGGCCATTCTATGATTCGTTCCTGCTTTTCCTGGCTGCTATCTCAGGGTTAATCTGACTCTGGGGCTTTAAGGTCCTGGTGTCTTAGGTGCACACCTTGTGATCCTGAATTCGGATCTCAGCATTCAGAATCTGCATTTAATCTGCATTCAAAATTCAGCAAATTAATCTGAGACTAACCGTGTTCTGTCTGTCTGCTCCCACAGAAACCTTTGAGCACATGAAGAAATCTGGAGATTATTATGTTACTGTTGTAGAAGATACGAATCTTGGACAGATCGTTGCTACAGCAACGTTGGTGATAGAACACAAGTTCACTCACTCCTGTGCAAAGGTATATCCTCTCACTGCTGCTATGGTGAGGAAGAAGATCCTGTTTCCAGAATACACCTGTTATTTTTACCTTGTTACTGTGTGATGAAATACCTTCTGCTGAGTCAGTGATAAGGGCATGAATTTGTGCAGGAACTGTGTCTGAATAGACAGGAGACAATGCAGGCGTGGAACCTTGAGCAGGAGGGAGATTGCACACTGGTGTTGTACTGCACTAACACTTGTCTGTATTTTCACAGAGAGGGAGGATAGAAGATGTAGTAGTAAGCGGGGAGTGCAGAGGAAAGCAACTCGGTAAACTGTAAGTATTTGTTACCTTTGCAATTCAACACCAGGCAGAGCAGCAAGCCCTTACTGAGCTTGCTTCTGCTCCCCAGTATTGGCATGCTGATCAGTGCCAGCAAACACATTAACTGCAGTGGTGATGACTGATGTCAGTGCAGGAGCTCTCTGAGAAGAGGAAGGTTTGCAGCTGCCATCAATGACAGTTCAGAAGTCAGCTGTGAGTGGCTGATGTTTGAAGTTAGCCCATCCCTTTTGCTGCTCTCAGGATGCTATCTGTCTGTCCTTTGCCCTCAGTAGACACTGCAGGATCTTGGAGCAGGATTTCTGTTCTGCAGGTTAGTGGGGCAGATCCTCTGCGGCCAGGCAGCTCACAGACCTTTTGCTAAAAAGTTATCACTTAAGTTTTAACATAAAATTGCCTACAAACCACTGCTATCTTTTTTAGCAGCTATTCTGTGTACTGAAGAGAAATACAGATTACTGTAATGTTTCAGTATTTCATGTCTAAAGGTGGGGAAGGGCTGCTCTGTGGTCAGTAGGCATCAGTGAGGGACTTCAGAACTGGCTGTGAAGTAGGTGGGTCTGCCAAATGTTTCCAGTGGAAAGATCTACTGCTTTCTACAGAAGGCATAGGATCAAAGTAGGACCACTACATGTACTGGAATGGCTTTAAAGTGAGACAGGGGAGGTTTAGGTTGGATATGAGGAGGAAGTTTTTCAGGCAGAGGGTGGTGAGGCACTGGAACAGGTTGCCCAAGGAGGCTGTGGATGCCCCATCCCTGCAGGCATTCAAGGCCAGGCTGGATGTGGCTCTGGGCAGCCTGGGCTGCTGGTTGGCGACCTGCACATAGCAGGGGGTTGGAACTGGGTGAGCAGTGTGCTCCTTTAAAAAGTGTCTTCCACTGATATTTTTAGCTAATTAAATGGTTGTTCCTATGTTCAGGGCCATCCCACTTAATTGCTGTTTTTCTGTCTTTTTCAGATTAACATCCACTCTTACGTTGCTAAGTAAGAGACTGAACTGTTACAAAATCACACTCGAGTGTCTGCCAAAAAACGTGGCCTTCTACAAGAAGTTTGGCTATTTGGTATCTGAAGAAAACTACATGTTTCAACGGTTCTTTAATTAAGAACTTCTAGCACTGTTTTTGTACAGACTGTTGGTGGAGGAGCTCGTGGTACATTCTCTTCATGACAAATTTATATAGTTTATTGCTGCAAATATAACGATCCCTATAAATACTGAACATCGAATGTGTAAATCCTGCAAAGAAAAGGCAACGTACTGACATTCTAGGAGGGTTCTGTGGGTTAGCTCTTAGAACTAATTTTTACTACTGTTCAGTCTAAGTGAAGCTTTTTTTGTTCTAGCTGAGTTACAAAGGACTCTTGTTAAAGGGATGGTTTTTAACCAAAGGTCTATATTTTTATCTCAAATTTTTTCTTGCATTGTATTTTTCTAAAGGTTTGCGCTTCTTTTCTTGGTAGCCAAAGTACAGCTTTGTGGGGTCGTGCTCCTGTCTGTACTTCAATGAAGGGTGATGTAGGTGGGTCGGGATGCTTCTCGTATGCAGTTAGTAATACAGGATGGGATTTTGTTCTGTTCTTTCCATGAAACCTCACTGAAGTGCTGTTGATGTTCGTGTACCTGAAGTTTTATAGGCACTGCTTTCTGAAACTGGATTTGTTGCTATTGATGTGGTAGGGGGTCCTTATGGGCTCTGTTGAAGCCAATGTTTTGGAGCCTAAATGGATGCATAGTCCTCCATGCAGGGACCCTGCACTTTAGCTGATAATTTAATATGTTTTCAGGACAATTATGTTTTATGACAAACCAACCCATGATTTGCAACAGAAGTAGGAAGCTGGAATGTCTGACAGGCAGAATACACCTCATCTTTAGTGGGCTTTTACTGGTACTCAATGGGAATACCAATGCCTGTACCTGTAAGAAGGTACCAACAAGTTCAGCTTCACCCAACGCATCCAGCCAACTTGCTGTACTTGAACTCCTTTGGGCCAGTTCAGCTCTGGTTTTGCTGGTAATCACTTCTACCTATTGCATTTCAAACCAGCCCAGAGATCCCAGATCAATGTCCTGAGGGATAGCTGCTGCTTGGAAGCATCCCTCTTCTGTACAATTGGATAAATGATTTTAGCACTTTTGCCCCCAGAGGCAAGCAAATAACATACAAAGCCCTCACTTCAACAATAGTGTTTTGTGCAAGGAGAGTGACAAATCCTGCATCTCTGAATAGGGCATTATGAATAGGCAAAGGTTGGCACAGAGCAGCCAGCCTTGTTTGTGAACTGTTAGGCCTTAAGGAACGTCCTTTCCTTGTGGCGTGGAGAGCTACTTCAAGCTGTGTGGGGGATTCTATTTAATGTCCCTGATGGTACTTCACTCAATACAGTGTTCCCTTGGTAATGTCTGTTTTATTTATTGATTATTTTTTAAAAAAATCTTTGTTTAAGCTGAATAAATTAAGACTGCCAACTATATCTGCTCTGTTTTTGATACTGCTGTACCTTTTGATCTGCTTTTCTATAAACTGAACTTTTTTTTTTTTTGAGTCTTCATGTTGATTTCAAGTATGGCACCTCTTGAAGCATGACATCTGTGAAGCAAGTCTTTAGAGGAAGGCACAAAACCTGAGGTATGCATCTGCACAGCTTGATTGCTTACAGATGCAGCCACAGGCCACCAGGAGTGGTGAGAAAATGAGAGCAAGTCCAGCTCTGAGCCCTGCACGTCTCAGGAGCCAGACCAGAGCTTCTCGCCCACTTTCTGCTAAGCTGCAATAAGCCTAGGCACTGAGTTCCTAGGGGTGTGTGTACCTGAGGGGGAATGGGGGCTCTGCTGCCAGCTGCCAGCAGCTAGAGCCCCAGGTCTAAACTATAAAGCATCATCTGCTGATGTGTGCTGACCCCATGAGTGACGTGGAGTGCTTTGCTTCTCGCTGTTTTAATCAGTTCTGCATTTCCACCACTTGGAAGTGGATTATGTGAGTTCTGTGCTACTCAGTATCATACTCAGAGCCATCTCAGGAGCTCTAGGCTCTCATTAGGAGATAATGAAATGATTAGTACAAGTGAGGAGCAGGTGACAATGTACTCAGCTTAAATCATTGTAAAACAAATGAATGAGGTTGAAAGCTTGGTTTTGGGGCTGCATGGCACTGTTCTGCTGGGAGGAATCCTGCTTTAACAGGGGAGAGCCCTCTGCTCTGTACTAGAAATGACATTCCCAACCTTGGCAGCCTAACCTTTTGGGGACGGTAGGAGATACAGAAGATCTGTGCTGCGTGAGGAAAGGTACTGCTGAACTGTGAGGAATCCCTCTGGAGAAAAAGTGTGAGAGCTGTAGGGCAGAAATGAGACTTCAACAAATTATTAAGCACACCATCAACCCTGCACGGTAGGGAATGGCTCTGTTAAGTGCTGGCAGATGCTCTGAGAGGTGATAACAGTCTGGCTAGTGACATACACGTGTCACTGCCGTTTCAGCCAGCTGGAAGAATACATAGCACATGCAGGCACATGCATTTTAATCTGTCAGTTCACAGGAACTGGCAATTGCCACCAACAGCAACAGAAGCAGGAGATATTCAAATAATACACTGTGTCTTTTGAACTGATAGAACTTCTTTATCTACAACAGCCCAGGCTCAAAAGGAGGGACGAGGCCTCCTTGGAGAACAAAGGAAGCACAGATGCTGTCAGAAATCAAACAGGGAGATGCTTTCCAATAGCCTGGACTTCACCACCAGCTTCTCTAAAGCTCAATGTTAGCTGCTCCTTAAGCCTTCAGTCCTTGGTTTGTAGTTCTTCACACATGGTATGCCACCTCTAGCTCCTTCCTTCACCCAGCTCCCCCTAAAATGGAAAGGGAACTCTTGTATCTTAACATACAGTTGTAGACTTCAGTGCTGCAATGTACCTCTGAACCTGAGGAAGGGAGAAAATTCAGCCTGCAGTGAATTTTCCCAAAGGCACAGGGCAGGGATGCTTGCTGCCAAATGCCACCTCTAGTTTAATCTCAGAAAGCAAATGGTAACTGAAATACCTTCTATCAGCGAGCTAATCAAGAAGCAAGGAATGACAGCTACAAATACAAAGCTAAATAATAGAACATAAGAGAAAATCTAATCTCGGAATCCCTTTGGATCTGAGAGGCTGTTATCTGCAGGGCAGCAGGCACACACCACAGTGACTTGAGCAGTCAGAGGAAGGTGGTAATGGAGTGAAAAGACAACTGGTGGGAAATCCTTCGTCATGAAGCCTAACAGTTGGTGAGACAGTCTCCCCAAGGAAACAGCAGGACCCCAGCGAGGTAACAGAACCAGACTAGACATGAACAAGGCTCTCTGGCAGGGGATGGCTGGATGAATCAGCAGCATTCTTCTGTCTGTGTTTCATCTCTACTCTTGCCCAAGGAGGCCCAGGGGAGCTGAAGGAGGAAGCAGCTTTACTCAGAAGTTCTGGTTCCCACCCTTGCTTCATCAGAAGCTCATAGCTGGCAGCAGTTGGTGTGCTGCACAAGGGAGGCATCCACAACTGCACAGCCACCTGGGAGCATTGGAGGCTAAGTGGGGAGGTGTCTGAGCATTTAGTTTCCCAACAGCCCCAAAACATTCTTTTAAAGCTGAAAGTTTCCTGACTAAAGCACAATACATTTTCTAAAGACTTTTTTTCTGAAGAATTTACGTAACTCCTTCACTGAAGCATGCAGCACAGGACAAATGGCAATAAAGGGAAAGTGCTGCTGGCCCAGCTCCACTGGAACCTCCTCACACACAGGGTCTTCACATTACACATGAGAGACTGTCAGGCTACAAAGCCTCAGCCCAGGTGTTCCTGGCTCAACTAAAAGCCTTGACTTACTGCAGGAGAATCTCCTCAGCTGTCAGCAGCATCTGTTCTAGCAGCATGCTTTAATCCAGGCAGTAGTTTTCAAGCCAGCATCTGCTATTTGTAACAGGTCTCTAAGTAGCCTTGACACAGGCTAAGAAGTTCAGGCTTGCTCTGGAGGGACTGTCCCTCAGCAAAGCTTCTGGGGAACTGCAAGAGAAGGCAGAGAATCAGTGACTAAGCAAAGATCAACAAGTCACAGGTGTGGTCACTTGCCTTAAGTACACCAAGGCAGAAGTCCTGCAGGACAAACAAGCTCTCAGTCTTTCAGCAAAAGGCAGCTTCAGAAGAGATCCTCCCAGCACCGAGAGGCCTCACTGCTCAGATTCATGTCCTTAAAGACACCTGCCCTCACAAAGTCCCCCTCCAGCTGCCATTTCTGCCTTCAGCATAGGATGCTCATTCCAGGACTGACAGAACACAGGCCTCATGCATGCAGCTCTACCAGTATAGGGAAGAAAGCTGGGTGCTCAGACTCCCAAATGACTTCTATATTCAGTCCACTGTCTTCAGCCCACCTGTTCACTGCCAATTTCCCAAATACACCCATTCATTCTAACAGCCTCCCAATTTGCTCAGTCAACACCATGCCTGGGAAATCAGTAACTGCCACCTGTACTCATTTAGCACAGGACTGTTTTATTAACTAATCAGTACTCTGATAAAGTAAATTAGCTTGCATAAAACAAGCAGAGAATTTTAGAACAATATTCTCTCTTAAACTGGTCTCAGTGCCAGCCTCAAAATAATTCCATGAGATTTTATAACCAAATAAAGGGTTAATGCTGAATACATCACTGCCATTGCTCAATTGTCAACAGCAGTGCACAGCACAGCTTGTAAAACACGTGTCTGAGTGTGACCATAACACAGTGAGAACAAAGTGAATTTTAGCAAACTTTTTCTTTACTAAAGTCTCTTGTTATAAATTACACAAATAACTTTATAAACAAATCCCCCCCAGCTTGCATTTTGTTTAAAGTAATAACTTTATATCATACAAATAAAGAAATTTCAAGTATGAAAAGTGCATTATTGCAATAATACCTCTTTGCAAGTCCAAAAATCTTGGTTTAGAATAAAACTGTAAAGTGTAAAAAAGGAGTAAAACAATCAGTGCCATCTATTCATTCAAGAAGTCCAACATCTTAAAAATGATGCTTAGTGTGTTGCAGAGGCAGATTTACATCTGAAAGCAACATGTAATTGAAAAGAAGCTCAGTGTGTTCATCGTTTTGCATTAGTTCTCTTTTTTTCCCCCTAGCTTTCTTCACCTTTCTCAGCAGGAGTTCACAATGCAAACAGTGCTGTCCTCATCCATTCTGTGCTGCTGCCACTTGCATGGTTCCAAGTTCGTCGTCCTCTTCATGCATTCGCTTTAAACTTCCTACAAAGAGGCAGGAGGGTAAGACAAAGGCATCAGCTATAACTACATGTGGTTGTGAGTAGGGCTACAGCACAGTTGGTAATGTCTCCATGGGATGTGTTACCCTTTCATGACATTCAGCTTCTGGGACAGCCAGCTGCTCACTGAACTCCTCTTCCCTCATCCATTTCCACATGGACAAATTGTTTTTTGGAACCCACTATTTTTTGGGCTCCCCAAAATTTCTCTCTCCCCCATACTCAATTTTTTCTCTGTTTCAAGTGAGCACACACACCACTTTCCCAGAAGTCTGAGGTTCTCAGCCAGGAGAAAAGAAAGCTGTGGGGTGACCTCATTGCAGCCTTCAGTACCTAAAGGGAGCCTACAGACAGGAGGGGAGTCAACTCTTGGAAAGGGTAGATAACAGCAGGGCAAGGGGAAATGGTGTGAAGCTGAGGGAGGGCAGATTTCAGTTGGATGCCAGGGGGAAGTTGTTTGCTGTGAGAGTGGTGAGGTGCTGGAACAGCTGCCCAGAGAGGCTGTGGATGCCCCGTCCATCCCTGGAGGTGTTCAAGGCCAGGTTGGATGGGGCCCTGGGCAGCCTGGGCTGCTGTGAGATGTGGAGGTTGGTGGCCCTGCCTGTGGTGGGGGGTTGGAGCTTCGTGATCCTTGAGGTCCCTTCCAGCCCGTGCCGTTCTGTGATTCACTGCTGTGAATTGGGGGCTTGCTTAGGGTGTGAAGCATTCCCCACACACCAGCAGGGTCAGCAGGTGGCACCACACACAACAGAAGAGGCTGCTGACCTGTAGTGCCAGGCGGAACAGAGAGGGATCTCTCCAGTTGCAGCGGTGACATCATCTGGATGGTCAGTTTTGCTAGATAGATGGCTTCGTATTCCTGAAAAAGTTTAATAATACACATAGCTATTAATTTAGTGTAATACGCTGTGAGGAGGTGGAGGACAAAGTCAGAGAATTCACTGGGACATGTCAGGGGGTATCTTACAGAAATGGCAGAGGGCTTTAAAGCAGGAGAGTTCTTTATTGCTTTGATATTAACAACAAAAACCATCAAGAAAGCAGAGCAAAAAAAAAAATCTAAAGGATGACAAGAAATGACTTTAAAAAAGAGAGAAAGATTTCCTTGATATAGAAAATTTGTGGTTTCAGACCTCTGAACTTCATCATCTGTGAGTGTGAGCATCAAGAAGGAACATGGATGTGTGCCACAACACCCACTTTGCACTTTCCTTGGCCAGCAACTAA